TCCTACCCTTCCCAACCTGGATCCTAATGCACGTTTTACTAGTTATCTTTCAATTTCTACAATAATAGTCTAACATAGTATTTGTTCTTATGGGACTGAGTTAGATTACTTAGTGTAATGCTGTCCAGTCCCTCCCGAGTTAGGTAGTGATTTTCAAAATCATTGCCCCAGCATGCTGTGTAGTGTTCTGTTGTGTAAACATATTCTAAATTCTCAATCCATTCACTTTTGATTGGACATTTGGACTGTTTCCATGTTCTTACGATGATGAATAACACTGCTATAAAACCTTGTGCCTCAGTTCTCATTTTCTCAGGGTATACTCCAAGTAGTAGAATAGCTGAGTCATATGGAATTTCTATGTTCAGCTTTTTGAGGAAATGCCAAACTGCCTTCCAGAGTGGTTATATCATTTTACGGTCCCACCAATAGTGTATGAGAGTTCCTATCTCTCCACATGCTCTCCAGCATTTATTACTTGCTTTCCTTTTAAACTTTGCTGCTTCTGCTGGGATGAGATGGTATCTCATTGTGGTTTTGATTTGCATCTCTTAGTCCCAGTGATTTTGAATATTTCTTCATGTGTGTATTGGTCATCCAAATATCTTCCTCTCTGAAGATTTTTCCATGTCTTTTGCCCATTTTGTAATTGGATTATCAGTCTATTTTTGTGGAAGCCCTGTAGGATTCTGTAAACTTTTTAAAAGTTATTTTATTATTATGAATTTTAATGAAAATTTACAGAGACTTGAATTTCCATTCATTCATTGTTGCACTTTTCTCCCTGCCCACCCCTCCCCCCACAGGATTCTGTAAACTTTTGATGAGGCCTTTGTCTGAAATGGTATTGCCAAATGTTTTTTTCTAGTCAGTATTTTTCTTTTAACTCTGTTGGAAAATGTTTTTAATGCAAACAGGATTTAATCTTTAGGAGGTTTCATTCATCAGTTTTATCCTTTCCAGATTTGGTGTATTTCTGGCTGTATTTGGCAGTTTCTTTATACCACAGTCTAAGCCATCTAAGCTCTATCCCAGTTTTTTATGACCTTTATAGTTTTGGGCTTTATTCCTAGGTCTCTGATCCACCTTGAGTTGATTTTTTTGTATGGTGTGAAATGTGGATTTAAAAAATTAGGACAAATGGAAACAAATTGAAAAAGAAACCAAAATACTAATTTCCAAGTACTATTACTCCTCCTCCTCCTCCTCCTCCTTCTCCTCCTCCTCCTCCTGCTACTACGATAGTTGCCCTACAGGGTGACCTAATGGTATGAAGCAATCCCGAAGACATGTGGTTCAAATTCACCAGCAGCTCTATGGGAGAAGGATGGGCAGTCTCCTCCCATGTGATTAACTGTGAAAACCTGCTGGAAGGTCAGCTATGGTTTGGTTCAACAACAACTATAGTTAATATTTTGATATACACCTTTCTAGTGTTTGTTTCTAACATTGTGTCTGTGCATGTTTTCAAATAATAGGATTCCATTATAAATGTTTTTTTTTAAACCTGTGATTTTTACTTAATAGAGTATATTACTTAGGTTAATATATCAAACATTTGGTTTTTCCTAGTACAAGTAATTCTGTGGACATACTTTTATGAAATATTTATATCCTAATTTTATGGTTTTTACATAGCATTGATTAATAGGTACAGAGAAACAAATTTTTTTAATTTTTAATATATGAGGATTTTCCTTCTATATCTTGCTAATACTAGTATTTAGGTGCTAGATTTTGGGAATGGAATTACAGTTAGTTTACTGTAATGTGGGTAATGCAGTATTCTTTAGTTAATATTTCTCTAAGATGACTCCTCATGGAAGTAAATGGAAATACATTGACATTTATTTAATTTCAGAATGACATTCTGCCTCTCTCAAACTCGTTGCCTGAAGATGTGGGAAAAGCTGACCAATTAAAAGATGAAGGTGAATATTTCATAGAAAAATTATTTATTATGTAAAACTTTCTAAAACTCTGAAAAAAGTAACAATCAATAAATGTCTAGTTTTCAGTGCCAAGGTTAAATTATCATAAATCTATATGGCACTTGTGAAACAGAAATGATTATGATGAATAAGAAGCCTAGAAATATAGAGTGCCTTGTGGATATAATATAGGTATGGCTTGTTTGAAAAGAAGCAAAGGGTGGAAAATGTTTTTAATCACTGTTGTAAGCAAAACTTGCAAAAAGTATGACATAAGAACTAGTTATTTTGTTTGCTACATGTACTCTGTTGTTGTTGTTGTTGTTATGTGCCGTCGAGTCGCCTGCGACTCGTACTCTAGGATCCCAAATTTTTGAACTTAAAGAATGAAACGTGATTTTCAGTATTATAACTTTTGTATATTTAACGTTTCTTAATTCTTTGAAATTTGTTGGTAAACGCATATGACAGGGAACTCTGCAAGTGTAGCCCATAGGGAGTTGTGTTTCTCACCCAAATGTGGCACCTCCCTGGCGGTAGAAAGAGGGGCAGTCTCTTCCCTTGTGATTTACAGACTTGTAAGCTGGCTGGGGGGCCAGTTAATGAGATGGTTCTAATTTGATGGCAATTAGAAGAAGAGAAGAAGATTGCATGTGATATGTACTTATTAGTCAGTACATTACCTATAATATTTTTAAGTTGAAGCTTTCTAGTTTCAGCAGATAATTCATTCTTGCTAACCTATATTCAGTTTTCCACTGAGTCAGTTTTGTTAAGTCAGTTGACAAGAGACAGGTCAGGCTAAAAGATTTGGGTTAAGAATCTGGAAAGTAAGATCCTTATTTTATCTGTGTTAGCCAATAAATTTCCCACTATAGGTAGAGAATTGTTAGAGAATATGCTCAGTCTATAAATAAACTTCAAATCATTTTATAGCCTTTTTGCTCATTCATGTCCTAAGAAGTTGGTTAATGAGGTTTTCTGGTTAATTTTTAATCACAGATTATTATTTTTTTCTCTTTTTTCCTTTTTTTAATTAATTTAGTTTATTTTTCATTTCAATGAACATCTACAGAGATTTTGGAATTCCATTCATTCA